CGTGTTCCACGATTGGCCAATAGGCGGTTTATTTAAGCGCGTTACATGCAACCCCATTCCTCAAAAAGATTCACCAAAGGGTAACAGACAATTCGCAGGTGAAATTATATGTTTGTGGCTAAAATTGGATGCAGCAGGCAGGTATTGTAGTCAATCTGACCCGCGAGTGAGGAGTGTCTGATATCTGAACAGGAAGTTGCTGAGTGCTGCTGTGCTAGTGGGCATATCGCAACGAGAACATTGCCATTAAGAATTATCCGGTGTGTCTGTATGTAAATTTTTGTGGTGTCGGTGCTTTTCATCGCGATGCGTAGCTTTGCAGGAGTGTATACATAGCTGTCTAGTAAACCCGAAACCATGATGAAAGCATGAATGCGTCGATGGGAGAATATTTCTACCCTCGCATGGGTGTTTCTAGTACGTGAACGCGTAGGCTATGTTGTCTGCTTTAGTTTATGTTTGAAATTATGCAAATGGGAGAAATTGATAAAACCGCTATATGGCGGATGCGTAAAGAGCATTTAAACTGGGTAATCGAGGTTTAGACGGTGTCGTGTTAAATCGTACGAAATGCATTTCTCAAGATGCTAGAAGAGCCGTGTAGGCATTCTGAGTAGAGGAGGGTCGTGCGTATAATCGCGTGTTTGCAGTGATTGGTTAGGGATGGTTCCGGCTGACGGTGACCAGTCGAAATGGACACCGGCGGCCTTCAATGCCACATATAAGTTTAGTGCAGGTGGAAGTACTGCGGCGGGCTGTGTTCAGCTGTGTTTGCCCTGCCAGCGCAAAGTGAAGACATCGATTTCATCGAGACCTTTATATGGTGAGAATGCACATGGAGCTATCACCTGGTTGATAATCTTCTTCGGTATCGGAATTATCGGTTCGTATACTAGCGATTCGTGTTCGTTAACTCAATCATTTCAACGCGTTTTGAAAGGGAGTGTGTTCGCGTTCGTGGGGCAGTAAGACTGCGGTGTAGGGAAGGCGGTATTTTCGTTAATTATAACGTCGACGTTGGACCATTCCATCTACGTGACGCTAACAATGGTTTAGTTTCGCGTGAGTGAGTGCCCGATGCGTAATGCCAGCTCGATATAGTTCGCTGCGTACTGATAAGCGAAGATTTAGAAATCGCGCTACGTATTTGTGTTAACCATGGATTTAGTAGTCGCTCTCAACTAAATTCTTGTATAAACATATGCAAGGATGCGCAATAGATCTCGAGTTATAGAGGTCTCCTGCCAGGTGCATATAGGGTTTGTCTCACGGTGCGCCGCAGTCAGTGTTTGTGCTTGTGAGTATTCGTAGGGGGAACAAGCGATACTGCTCGTTATTGAGGAACATATTTATTGTCAATATGCTTTCGTTCTTAACTCTTTCCACCTGGCTAATCTCCATAATATATGACTACAAAAAAGGTTACCAGACTGAATACGTGTTTCACTGGAATCATTTAATTATTGAGGTGAATTATCCTATATAGGTCTAAATGGTTTCAGAAATTCAACTTTAATTCATGAAACAACAGACGTGAGGGTTGCGCTACAATTGCGTGGCATATCTCACACGATGGCAACACTCCAGATGATAAACCATCTCTTGATGGACAGAGAACATCGCCTAAACGATTAATGGTTTCTCGCGGCAAATTAGTCACGTAGTACCTAAGATGATAGTGTCACAACTCCTAGGCATAAATGCTATATATTTTCTTCACACAAGACTAAATACCCTAAAACGTCTTTACTAAAAGTTACGAAACTGGTTAAGGTTTAGCGAAACAGTATTCTGTGGAAACATGCGCCAAACACGAATAGGCTCAAGAATAATTATTTTAAAACATCATGCGGAGGAGCGGCTGTAATGTCTTTGCTATAAGTATATTTATATGGTCTTATATCAAAATGTTGTTGGCAATATGCGTTGGAACAGCGCTGTCCTGCTGCTAACAGTCGTACTATGCGACCGATGATTCTATGATTGATAGCTGCATGTGTAATCATATTTTCAATCGTAAGTAATTACTATGATAAGGCAAGCTTTAGCCACGTATACGAACGCCATGGTCTAGGCGTTGTGGATTATTCAGTTTTGCTGTTAATCGCCCGTAAGCCTGTAGCGTCAAAGCGTCAGCATCCGGAATACGGGAGAAGCGATTCAATCCCGTATTTATATTGTCCGAGCGATTTTTCGTGTGGAATTGAGTGTGGTTAAATACGGGCTACAGAAGAAAAAAACGTGCAGGGATTGAGCAAGCGCGCCTGCAAGTCCATATTTGTGCGCGAACGAAGAAACCCCGCGTGTGTAAACGAGCTGTCACCGAGCAGGTGATGCGGTGACTAATCTCAGCAACTCCTTTCCCCCGCGAGTGTTTTGTTGTTGGATATCAGTGATTACAGTGAGAAACGCGGCACCTCGCTGGGCTAGCATTCCCATTGGCTGAAAGGGTTTGGCGAGCAGACGCGCGGACGAAGGCGGCAGCGCGAGCGCGCTCCACCTGTGTGCGAGAGAAAGAGTGAGCGCTCCTGCTCCACGCCATTATGTCTGCTACGTGAGCGTGAATTCCTATCGGATTTCTCCTCCTGACGCAGCCTCTGATGAGGCCAGATGGCCATTCCTCGTCACTGCATTTTGTCGGCACGTGAATACGCCGTGCGGCTCTACAAAGCTCGTTTTGTTGCGACTTTCTGCAGATGCAGCAGAGCCTGCGTCTCTCCAAGCTGATCTAAATAAACCGACTCGCTTCAGATGTGTAGATGCATGCGGCCTTACATCGTCGCATGCACAAACGAGAACCACTAACGAGATGTGTTTATAATAAGTAAAAACGTATCCACCGGGGTTTGATTCATTCAGCCAATTTGCTAATACCAAAAGTTGTATCACTTTTCCTTGTCCATTTTTTGCTAATACGCGTATAGCATTTTTTACAAAAACAAACAAACAAACAAACATTATACGTTCAGATGAGGATCGTTGTTTCTTTTTAAATTTAAGTGCGCATAAGTGCATTTTAAATTTAAAGACGATTTGCTATCGCTATTCAGTAGCTAAATAGACGTTTCTGACATTGAAAAAAAGACTATCGATGAAAACGTGTGAGCGGTCACAAGATAAAGGGCGCGTGCGAGCAATCTCTCTGTCGACGCGCGTGCGCGTGTCACGTGGTGCAACTGGCGCGCGCGACAGGTGATGCAAACCAACGCCAGCTCGCAGCAGCTCGGCCATTACATCAACCCCTCGTATATATACGAGCTGAGCAATATAATTGCGTTCGGGAGTAAAGTGCCCTGAGATGCGATAATTGAGCCGAGAAGATTGCCCGGGTGGTTGTCACAGGAGCTCAGCCGTTTTCCTAAATACTGTTATTCGCGGCGAATTAGCATCGTAACGACTCGCGGCACGGCTGCGCCGGAGTGGGGGTCGCTCGTACTACGGCCACGGAGCGGCACGTGACAACCGTCATATATTACGGCGAGAATCGCGGACACGTGTGATTAAGCTGGCGCCGTATTCGTGAAGCCTAACAGAATTACACAGAAATTGGCTTATAATTTCTAGTGCTTGAAGCGAAGTGCCTATATATATTGATCATTCTCCACCATACTACGCGATTGAATCTGCATCCGATTAAAGCGGGCATCATATCCGTGGTCTCTAGCGATGTTAAAGCTTGCCAAGGCTTGTCGATAATTGAAGGTGAAATATTTGATATCGAGGCAGGAATCCACTATTGAGCTCTTAGCTAAGTAAGCTACGCTCAAACGCCACGCCCCGTCACGCTCGCTTGCGAAGTAATTAAAATAAATTCAATCTTCTCATTTATCTCTCGGGAGTCGAGGGTTTCGTCTACATGTTTTCTAAGCCGTCTTCAAGGGCGAACGCGTCTCTGTGGTGCATGTAGAGGCTTGCACTTAGCGCAGGCACGCGCACGTTGCTGACACTGGCCTTTCATATTGGATCAACAGAACACGCGCGCGCGTGCTCACGTACGGCGAGGCGGTTATGTGCCGATGCGTGGCAAAGTATGACATCAAACAATCGTCGGCCGTTTGCAGGCACGAGACAGAAACGGGCGAAGATTACGGTTATGTGCCCTCCGTGAGCGTCGGGCCAGTTGGTAAGAAGGGTTGAGGCTCGGCACGCACTGCTCGCGCGCGAGGTATTCACGCCACAATGGCATCGACGTTGCCGTAATTGGCATCCATTTGATATCATTACAAGCAAAATACCGCAATTCCTTTTGTGGCACTCCGTTCCTCTTTTCTGTGTGCTAGACAAAGCTAACAGTGGTCGCTGACAGCGGACTAAGCAAGTCCACCCACGGTTGGGATCTTGCAACGGGATGTGGGTGGCGCGAGGTGGAGGAGGGATGAAGTTAGTGTGTGTAACTGCATAGCTATCGATCGAGAAAGGTATTTCTATGTGAAATTGTTGAGGAATATAACTAATACAGGTCGTGACCAGATAAAGGGAACTGTGAAGCGTCACACGAAATATTTTTTATGTCCCCCGGGCTACCCGTGACCCCCCTTCCTCCACCAATGCTGATTAACCACCCTCGTGGTAAAATGAACCCATCTCACAGGCAAAAGCAAAATAAACACAATCTATTCGCCTTGCCACCTGCCAGCGACTATAAGGTGGTATTAGGCTGGCATCAGGTAATTTTGTTATCTACAATAGAGACGGCACGTGGAAAAACATTTGCATTTCGGCAAAACCAAACACTCGCACTTACTTTGCGACCGGGAGTGCTGCACTGGCAGATGCACGCGAAGAGTACATGTCAGTATTTAGACTGGCTCGCGTCCATAGCGAGCTGCTAGCACGCTGCATGGTACGTTTGCCGAGCGTCAAGCGTGCGGTTGTTTGTTTTATGTTTTTTTTCGCTGCACGAGCGATTGATGATTCTTTGTGCTACTGCGACATTTGTCGTGCGTTCACACTCCACCGTGCTACGATGCTCAGCGCTTCTCTGTCCTCCCTGATTGCAGCTGATAGAGACAGACGGGAAGGTTAAAGGTTGGATCGACGCCACCGAGCCGGGAACGGGCAACTGGATGAAGTTCGTAAGAAGCGCTAAAGCTGTGGAGGAACAGAACGTGATGGCTGTCCAGGTGGAATCACAGGTAGGATACTCGCCGATACTGCTGATTCATGCACTCACATATATATATATAGCTTGCATTTGGTGGAGCGATGTAGCGTCGCCTGATTCAATTGCGGAGTAATAACTGAAAGTAATGACAGAGGAAATGCTGTCTTATGACGGGTGGAGGCTGTATTGCTATGCGCACCGGTCTCACACATGCTATTACACGGGGTTGTTTAACTCGACTGGTGAGGGAAACCACACCTATCTATCGGATATTCACAGAGACTATATACTTGTGTTTTATCTTGGTATAAACCATGGGCGTATTCTGTAGAATTTTCATCTTCGGATGACTACCAACTTTGAGCGCATTGCGTTATATCGTTTGTGACGTTGTATATTGTGATGTATTGCGTGAGAACACTGCAAAAATGGAATTACGAAATTCCCCACTAGTATTTTCTTGTAATAATAACGTAACAGAACAGTAAGAACACTGCCGCAGGCGATGAATCGGGTTCTATTGTTAGAACGTGAACCGAGAATGACATTAATTTCAAATGCGTGTGTATTTGTGACTGAGGCCTGATCAGGGCCTAGCTTTCAACGTCATAAAATACCTACTCCGATTAAGAATTACGCCCTTCTATATTTATAAGTGTGATTATCACAAATGGCACATATAGATGTGTTTCGTCTGCCATGGCTGCTCATGCTGTTCGAAAAATCGTCGGAAGAAGCAATGTGTAACTAACACTGCAAATACTTGGTGAGCAATGGGACACGTACAGGAAGCGTAGGAGGATGTCTTTAGTGGTTGAGTTCTGCTTGGCTGCCTACGCTGATACACTCCCGTGCGGCCGCGTTTGCATAGATGGAGGTACACACTGTCGGACTTTTACGCGCAACTGCAATTCACATAAATCAGGCGCGCTCAAACAGACGGATGACACTCGCACAAACCTGCCCATTAAAGCTCGCTAAGGCTCTGAAAACTCGTTCGTTTAAATTTATAACGACCCTATTTGCACTGCCGTTTGCCGCCACCCCGAGATGTAGCAACCTCCACGGCCGTGCCAGGGATGCACGCCATCGTGAAGCTGTCTAAATATTTGCGTATTTAAAATTGTGTCATCCTAACACTAATAGTTTGGCTAGTCAATATTTGCGGAGATGTTTGCTTTGGGAAGATCCGCATTGTGTTCGCCCTTGAATGAAGGCAGTAGATGAATGGGAGAGGCAGACGCGCAGGCAGACGATCTTTCCGCGGGCTGACGACAAAAGTAGCGTTCATGTGTTTTGTGGAAAACATCTGCCGGTTATTGCGAAACGCTCGCGTTAAATAGGAGATTATGATTTCAAAAACGAAACTAATAATTTCGACAAGCCGCGAACAAATCGTTGTACGAAGCTGAATAAACAGGCAGCAGATGTCTGAAGGATTTGCCTCGATAAACTGGGGTTAAGTTATAACATCCAGGATGCTGTGTAATTTGATATAGCAAATGGATTATCCAAAACTGCAACGAAAAAGAAATGAATAACCGGTTACGAAGTCTCATACACAGATAGAACGGATGAGAATCTGATATTCGTTAGCGAAGTGTACACCTTCACCTTTTTGTTCTCGATAATATGCACTGCAACACTTGAAGTGTAGTTTGCGGTGCTGTTGAACTTTCGATTGAATAATAACGACATTTTCGATAGCCAATACAGTTAATGAATAAATATACTAGGTGGGTAGTAAAACCTAGCTCTTCACCGCGCTCTCTGTCATTTGCTGCGCATAATGTATTGAATGTACCTATGGTCTTTTAAACCAACCCGCTGGCGCAGAAATGTCTGACGCCAAGGCGAGTTTTTATTAACCAAGTACCGCATATAATGTTTATATGAAGCATACTACAATTTATTTCACTCGTCCAAACTAGTGGCTTTAAAGAAGACGTTCATGAATAGCTGTTGATACGCGGCATATACTTGCGGGTTTGTTGGAGTAAACTGTGAGTAATTTTTTTTATAGTTTATATTTAGTATAGTTCACACAGCGCGAAATATGAGCCTTACATGTTAGTGACTTTTTACTAACACACGCACACGCACACGCACACGCACACGCACACAAATACAAACACAAACACAAACACAAACACAAACACAAACACAAACACAAACACAAACACAAACACAAACACGTACCGCAAACCACGTACCGCACACACGTACGCCACCACACGCACACACGCACGCACGACAACAGCGCCACCACGCACACCGCCAACGGCACACGCACCACGCGACACGCCACATACCACACACACACACGATCACAAACACACACACACACACACAACACCACCAAACACACAACACACCGCGCGCACACGCGCCGCGCGCGTCATGACCGCATACACCACGTGCTCACACTCACACACACACACACAGCCACACACCACACACACACACACACACACACACACACACACACACACACACACAGACACACACGCGCGCGCGCACACAACGTACACAACGCACAGGAAATTCATACAGGCAGAACCCTAAAGAACGCGGACTTTTCTCAATGAAAAATCACACCGCGTGGGGGCAACTGTGTTGCTTGTCGTCGGAACCATTCAGCAAATCATGCTAGTCGAGTAGTGTTCGCCCTTTCTCTCTAGTCTTATCTTCTTTCTGCTGGTCCCTTTAAGTCGTTTAAATCCCTGACAACAAGCGGCGTTGAGCGTCTCTCACAGGAAGTGGCATCCATGTTCGCCCGCGGCTACGGCTGCCGAGACGAAATACCTCCGATTGTAAGACAGTGACGATCTCAATGCTTACTTCAGTGAGTTGCATCCTTCCCGCATTATAGCATTGGGGCAGCGCGCGACCCATTTACTCGCGATTAAGCCTCGAGTGGTTACTCAATTTAAAACGCATCCGTTGCCGTGGCGACAAAGAAATTTCTCGTCAATGGCACATAGACGGAGCGCATGAATGAGGTTGTCGTGCGGCAGGGAGCACGATATGCTAATGAGCGTATAGTCGTATAGCGGCGCGATATTCCGCCGCATAGTCGCTATCGGAATTCCCCACATTCTCTACGCAGAGGGTAATGTGTCCATGGGAGCTAGATAGGCTACGCACTGGGCTCGTCTGGGCGTCCGCGCCCGCTCAACTCATTCGCAGTCGATCCGCGTTACCTCTGTGTGACACGAGAGTGAAAATCAACACGGAGCAACTGTCAAAACACGTCGCCGGCATTCCCCGTGCGTTTATAGTGTTCTCAGGCGAACGACTCGAAGCGCGTTTAAAAGGCAGCACGATATCGAGTGACAGAGATTAACAGCAGGCCAGACAGCTTCGCGGGACGAGTAGCTGCCAACTGACTGCCGATATAAGTGGATGAGAGCCGAGGGAAAACATCCTTGTGCTTGTTGTACGATTGAGTGGCAAATTCACAAAGCTCTGCCCGGCGATTTAATGAGCTACTGTTGCCAAGAGCGGGTCTGTCTGCTGTCGATATGCATTCCGTAGTCTTGATGGATCCTATGTTGGTGGCCTTGACGTGTTACAGTAAGTGACTCCGTTGCGATTAATACCATAACTCGCTTGTGAAGTGTCTTGAAGTGTGTGTGTGTGTGTGTGTGTGTGTGTGTGTGTGTGTGTGTGTGTGTCAGTTTCGCTTACGAATCGTCTTGTGTAAACGTGATCTCTTTGTCAATAGGGCGCGGTTTAGCCTTCGTCATCTCCTTATTTTTACAGCTCCCGTTTTTCCTGTGGCTCTGTAATTTACCATCTGGCGATTGTAAACCGTATTTCATTTCCTTATATAGCTTCGCCGGTGATTTTGCATACGTATTTCATTCTCGTGATTCACGGAGTCGTCTATCGGTACAGGTCGCGCCTTAATTCCCTGTGCTCCTCTAGCTTTCCGTGCTCCCTCACCACAACTCCCCCTCTCGCCTTCTACATATATCGTATCTCTTTCCGCCTGCTGTGGTTACAATCTTGCATTGCCGCGGTGTCTGTGGACACGTAATACCTATACTAGCAAAAACGAATTCGGTTTATAGTGCACAGTCCGTTACTGTAGGTTTTGGAATCACACATGTCGTGTCGTTGCCTCATGCGTGACTAGCAGCCGCTACTTCCTATATGTACGTATATCTAGATATTTATCATTCTTGCGATGCTTTCCGATTTTTTTTACAGTTATTCAGGTGCGGGCGTGCATCGGAGCACCACGACGCTGCGCGTATTCATTACAATGCGAAATAAGCGTCGTACTGGACCCGAGAAGTGGCCAAGGAGGCGGCCACTTAAATCTAGATTATACGCGTAAACCCACTGAAATTGACTACCAGTATCATAAAGAAAGAGCGTTGAGTGTCTGTGTGCCGCTAATCTACCGCACCTGGCAGGTAACGTGCGCGACAACAGAAGCAGGAATGTCTTACCGCGGCGATGATGCGAATTGTCGCTGTGTCGGACACACGCGGTACTGCCCAGCTTCCGCGTGCAGCAGCTGCTGAATTCCTCATTGGAGGAGGGTGTCATTATCTCTGCGAGGCGCATCTCTTATTGGATGCGCACGTGCCGAACCGCTCCCTCCCAGCTGCTGAACGCTACCCGCCCGTCCATTGTCACAAACAAAATATTCTGCGTAAAAAACAGTAGTTCTTTACTAGAATGGACACCGCGTGTGCGTGCGGATAGCGCCATTGTTCTCCCGTGGCACGCACCGTCTTACGGGCGGTTTTTATGGCTGCGACGAGTGCGTCGGTGGTCACGATCTGAAGATTATGTAATAATATGCGTGCCGCGGCCTCGGGATTCTCTAGCTACTGTCATGATTCATCGATTTTTTAACGTCACCGTCGGAGTGAGTCATAAGCGTTCGCCACTTAACCCTTCTTCACTTCTGCGAGAAGCGAAATCTTGCCGGTATTTCCACGAACAAAACCGGAAAGGAAAAACTCTATTCGCGCTATTGTGCGATCCTATCTGGGTGGTCTACGCACGATCCCA